ATTAAATAGATAAAAACAATAAAAATAAATAAAAGACACAGAGGACCAAAACAACTCACGCAGTGTTAAAAGTCAGAGAGTAAAAGTGGGTGTTAAGACGAGATGTAAAACCCTCCACTGTGGGGGCTGTTTGGACATGGGGGGATTCTTATGTTTAAAATTGATCACTTTTTTGTTGACTTTTTTCCTGGTACTAATTTACTGTCATAACTCATCAGGTAAACAAATGGATGTATTAACATCTGTTTTACTACTACTCTTACTACAATTACTACTGCCACTTCTAAGAAGGTCTGGTAAAACAAATTTTGTAATTTGTGGAGAAAATAGTGGTAGTGTTGGATGGTATTTTAAGAAATTTAGTTCTTGCTAATTGTGTCCATTCAAACAGCAATTTCAGTTTGATTGTGGTTAATCTTGCAGCCCTATAATCTCGAATAAACCCTAAAACAGAGGTGTCCAATCTGTAGCTCAGGAGCTCCCAGTAAGTCTCCACCCCCCTCCAAGTAGCTCACCAAGGGATTTATGAATTAAACAAATTGTGATTGATAATTAAAATATGATTATTTACCACTGTAAATGTATAATTTTGATGAATGATGATGATGAAGTTTTACATTTAAACAAACTTATGAAGATGACTGAGAAGACTGAACACAAATGCCCCCAAAAAAAATCATATTTTGCAGATTACAAACTGCAAGTCGTGAAATCTGCAGCTGAAACTTTCCTGAAGTCACTGGATTGATGGACAAAATCTGGACTTCAGTGACACTGAAACCATCCTGTCGGGATTCCAAAATAAATAATTCTAACTAGAAATAATTCTAACTGGAACTGATGCTGAGTCTGACGACAGCGACACAGAAGAGGAAGTGGCGCTCTGTTTCCCTCCGGAGGTCGAGGCCGAGTTGTTCAGAAGTGACACCGAGGATGAAGAATTTAATAGATTTAGTGATTTGGAGTGAGATGGAGAGTTTGTTAAACTTGTTGTATTCTGTTGTTTATGTTATAGTTTATCTGAAGAAGTGTTCATATGTGACGTTAACAGTCTGTTGTTCTCTCTTCTAATGTTATTACTAGAACTTGACTTTACACAGGAAATGTTGGTTCCTGGTCTCAGTTTTTAGAAAATAAATTTCCCCTTATTGTGCGACTTATAGTTCGGTGTGACTTATATGTTTTTTTTCGTCTTCATTACACATTTTTCAGATGGTGCGACTTATACTCTGGAGCGACTTATTATAGTCCGACAAATACAGTACATACCCACAGCAGTTGCCTCTTCACAGATCTGACCTGTAACTAGTTTGACCTGTGTCTAGTTTAGTCTCAATGAAGCTAGAACGTTTTAATACCATACTGTGAAACATTCCAGACAAAGCAATAACATCTCCATTGTGAAAAGCATCTGATGGACCCTCCACCAGAAAAGTTACACAGTGCACCTTTAAAGCCAAAGTATCTCAATTATTATCAGAACCAAAAAGCTGCTTCGGTGCTGAAGTAAAACCTTGGCCAAATCAGAACAATAGTCTCAGCGTGTTGGAGGCTGGGGGATGATTTGCTAAAATAGCAAGTGCTCTAGTTAAGGCCAAATTATTTTTCCATAAATTGGGATTTCTTGCCTCGTGTTGCGGTGTCACTGTGTGTGTATTTTTAGGTTTTGGACCAAACTGAATCGTGATGGGAATAAAAACGATAACAAACTTGTGAAGAAAAAGTCACAGTTTAAGATAATAACCTCCCCAGAGACTGAATCCAGATCCAGCAATTATCCACAGAGCACGAACGGTCAAAGATAAACCATCCCAGGAGGAAATCCAGAGTTTAAAGAACCAATATGACACTCTGATCTCTGTTCTAATGTCGTTTCCTCTTCACACACAGACCTGGACTTGTGTTTTGTTCCATTCACATGTTTAACACACAAACCCTGCACATATGGACAGTATTCTCTCAAACTGAAAACACTCACCACACACCTTCACTAAAATCATATGCATAATTTCAGCACTGGAATTTAAAATCTGTACACAAAGGTAAAGGAGCTATTAACCTGAAAACTACTACTTCATGACATCACATGGTGGAACAGAACATTCTGAGCTTTGGAGATGTAGACAGACTAATAATACAGGTTTACTCAAACGTGTGAATGAAACAAAACACAACTCCAGGTCTGTTTTTGAGGAGGGAACAACATTCTAGCATTCTAAAGCTCACAAGAGTCACTTTTGCGTAGGACCTTCACATTGCTGGTGTTAAATTAACAATGGCAGTGTTCATTTTAATACTTTAAAAGTGTGCATATGCAGCCACTATTTATATATCAAAGTATAATATGTATTTCATTTGAATGTATGTAGTTCAAGCTGGGCTGGAGCAAAGTTGTGGACTTGAAAAATCACTGGTATCACTAATTGCTACTCTGGAATTCTGGAATAAATAAATTCATGTCATCATTTCTTTATTCTAAAAAACTAACAAAACAAAAAAAGTTATATTATTTTTTCACAATTAAAAAACAAATACTTTAAAGTATTTTTGGCTTTAATTTGACATTCAGTTATGCTAATGTAGGATGTCATGATTCTATAATGTCACTGTACGTGACAGGAAAGACTAGAGTATTTCATGAGCTCAGAGCAACTTCACACATCTACAGATACTCAGAGAAATACTCCACCTGACCTCACCAAGATGGCTGCTACACAAAACTCCCACATGTCTACAGCCAGTGGCATCTCCCCGAACGCCCTGACGCAGGTTTCACAAACAATTTATGTAAAACGACTTGTGCAAACTGTGATAAAACTGTAACTTATTTTCATGGTTTTACAACTTGAATAATCAGCAGTGAAGTAAATGTATGTTACAAAACGATCATGTTGTGTATTTGGGCCGACTCAGCAAAAACCCCATAGATACACAAGTGGACAGGAAGTAATGACGCTAACAGTCAGCTAGCCGCGCTCTATTCTCCACAGAGCCGGTTCTTCTGGGTGGAAAGAAAAATCTGAATTGTTCTAAACTGAAATGAGGCTCGGACACATGAGAGGGCAAACAGTCGGAGCCACCGAGCCACAGCGGTACAGCCCTGTTCCTCTCTACACGTTTTTCCCTCCTTCATCAAAACAGAAAATCCCTTCTTTCATACAATCAGCCGTTTCCATGGAGACGGTGCCATTCAGATTTGATACTGATGATTGTCTCGCGCTCCCCACACCTTTTCCTCACAACCAATTTACTGCCTATTCTACTCACGTTACGACGCACTAACCACACGTACACTACT